TTTCAATCAAAATCAATATTAGAACAATAGAAAGCACATAATGCGGATATTAAATGAGCTACATTCTTTAACAGGACTCTAATCACTTAATGAAGTTGTATACATTAATGTTAAGAACAGTTAAAGTATTTAAGGTCAAAATTCAAAAGACAAATCATGTTGACTTGCAGACCTAATAATTTACTTTCCTTGCACTTGTTTTCCTTCTGGTACCCCTGTGTGTGACATATCACATATTGTCCACTACTTACACTCTCTACGTATGTCCACTAACCATCTTAATTTAAATGGATGTGTCACGTTTTACACATTAAATTTCAGGTGAAAACTGCAGTTCCGTTGACTTCACATGCGCTGACACACCTTGTAAGAATGGCGGCAATTGTTCGAGTGAATCAGGGAACGTAACTTGTACATGCTTACCGGGTTGGAAGGGTGATATATGTGAGGAAGCTGTAGATCCTTGTGCTGGTAATCCCTGTGAAAATAATGGCACGTGCTCCATTGAACACTTTGGATTTTCCTGTACCTGTCATGATGGTTTCATTGGTGATGTCTGTAATATCACGGATATGACGACGATATCCACGTTTATAGAGTCGACAACAGTTACTGTAATTGTCGACACGACGACAGGAGAAACGTCGGACGTTACTACTGTTAACGATACAGAGATATTAAAAACAACTACACAGCTTCCTGAAACTTCAACAGGTAAAAGTAACACTGGAATTACTCTAATTATCCCCATGATGTTTGAAAATAGGAATAATTATACCAGGTTATAGTATATCATTATAATGTAAGATATAACTTCTAGTTAGAATACTTAATTTAGGAAAGTATGCGTACGACCATCAGTATCACATCACCTATTACCACTGCCAAAACTGTAAATGCGCATTTGAAACTGTTTTACCTGCATGTCTTCAGTTTAAATATACCATTTCTGTAGAGGAAACCATACATTGCTAGACAACAATGAAAATAACGATGAAGATGAAATAAACAAAGTATGAAATACACTGTTCTGGGTGTAGGAAATCCAGTGCGGTAAGATCTGAATTCAAATCCTGGACCTCAGATTGTTACACCGTTGCTTTAAGTATCTAATAAACCTTGTCAACGGGGAGCGTCGTGGTCCAACTGTGTTACAGGTATATCCAAAAATGAATAAAATACAATGTAATTTTCTAGTGATTTTGTCTGCTGCGGAACAAGGATACTTAATTGATAACATCACCCGTTTCTCTACATAATCAGAGACACGTGAACGAGAAATAGTTGGAAAAAAATGAGAAATGATAAGTTTTATGATGTTTTCACGGTCATATTTATAATGTAACAACATTTTTGTTTATGTAGCATTGAGGATAGCGTCCATAATGCTCAAAGGGAGATTACTCGGAGATAATAGAGAAGACGTTCGGAAAGGAATGACTAATCTCCTTCAAAAAATGTTGAATTTAAAAGGCAAAGTAGAAATCGCCATCAATTATAAACCAGCAATACTTCCGAATGGGTATGTATAACATCAATACAGATCAAAAATCGTGTTTTGATGTATTGCCTTAGATATACATTTCTGCATTGTGTATTATATGTATTGTTAATAAACAAAACCAAAAAAAAAAAAATTTTTTTTTTTTATTAATGAACAAAAAAACAAAAAACAAAAAACAAAAAAAAACTAACACTTGCGATGTTTTGTTGCGTAGAATCCTTCCTTATGTAGCATTTACAACACATTATGAGCTTAAATGCTAACAGCTATAGTTCATGTTGCGTCCACGCAAACATATATGGTACGTAGGATAATTTTATTTCATTCCATTGTGGGGATACAGATGTAACACTTTTAAACATTTTTGTATTATGATAATATTTATACTTAATGGTATCTACCGCGTGTTCTGATTTGTGGTTCTTATTGCTTGTAAACTTTAACTACATTTTGTCCTTTTCTTTTGTTTACAGAGAATTAGTTACGAATGTTTTGGTCCATGTGGAAGAAAATGGTAACACAGTGGAACCAGAGACAATTCAGAAAGTATTTCAGGACACGGAAATTGCGGTGCTAGAACAATACATACCCTTGCCTATTTACCGCGAGGGAGCCCCTAAGACAGCCCCTCTCCTAGACGGCGTAAGTACTGACAATGATTGTAGACAATCTCACTGTTTAATGGTCTTATTACAACGCAGTAATGGAAGTATTACGTTTATACGACCGTTACATGTCTATTTAAGTTGCTGAATGTAAATATATACTAACAATATACCAATTTCTCTTGATACGTTATTATTTGTTATTGTTGATAAATGACAATGTTGCAAATTTTGTCTTTGTGATCGTATTGTTCCACGTCAATATGGTCGTATTCATATGACTACTTTGAGGGAATTCTATTGAGTCTGTCAGCCTTTGAGAAAATGCTTTATTTGTCTGACTTGCAGCACCCCAGTTGGATCCATGACAACTGGTACGTGGTTCTAGTCATTTTTGTCGTCATCATCGCCATGTGTATATGCCTAACAGCGTTCGTCGTATATAAGAGGAAAAGGTAAGCGACACATTTGTCATCACCACATCTGAAATAACAGTTGATGCTGAAACAATAGACACCGCACAGCTCCCATTCTATATAACTTATAT